TATCGTTACAATGGTTTGCCGACAAACCAAATAGGATACCTTCGATTTCTTTTTTTTCTCTCTTAGACATAGTAATTCGTAGTAGATAAAATTCTCTTTTGTGCGATATCGATATCATACCAAGGAACGAAATATTAAAGAATGTAATCCACAAAAAAATCACGCATAAATATTTTATTGCGAAATTTTTAAATTTCGTTTTCACTTTGCTTATTATTTCGTGTAAAGGAAGTGCACCTAGACATTCAGAAGCAATATTATTTTCAATATCTTTGTTTTCAACTTCTTCCTCTATTAAAGGAATAATATATTCAAAGCAAAAATAGGTAGCAATGATCCCCCATAGACAGGCACAAGAAAAACTAATGAGAGTGATAACTATATATTCATAAAACTCCTGATTTATATTGTTAAAATTAGTATTATTGGTATTTGTATTATTAGCGGTAACGCTGATAGTCGTATTACTCTTATTATTAATGCTGATATCAATGCTTTGAATCAAGAAGATTGCAGATGTAACTGTCAGGACAAGAAAAGAGAGTGTCATTAAAGAAAGAATTATGGTCCGACAAATTAACATATAGCGTATATGGTCAATAAGTGCTTTTAAAAATTTTATCTTTTCATTAATTTTTTCATTATCATTTTCATGTTCTACTGAGGCTTTAGCTGTATTGTGGTCAAATTCCTCTTTATTATCCTTTTTCCCATAAAAGAAATGTTTGAGAGACAACATACTACTGGTAAGAACCCCAACGCTCCCTGATCCAAAAATAGAAGTTGAAATAACGCCCTTAATATTAAGCCCTGATTCATAGTCTTCTATTTTGAAAAGTAAAATGCCAATACCAAGCCCTAGAATACAAAAGATACCAGTACTTATTAAACGTAAACGAGACTTATTACGGAGATATTCTAACTTTTTAAATTTTTCTTTTAGTGTAACGAGTTGATATTTCCTTTGCCAAACTTTCATATCAGGGCTCTCAATCGTATTAGTACTCCCATTCGTATTAATCGTATTAATCGTATTAATCGTATTAATCGTATTATCTTCAGCATCTGACATGACTTAAAGATGAATAGCTTCACTGAAATAGGTTACTTTATATATTCAATTTTTTGGTTATGGATATTCTATAGAATAGGTGAGCAAACTCCGCTGAATATTAAAAATTAATGATTACTAATCATTAGCAAAGCTTATTTCTTATATTGCCCACCTATTCTATAAAACATCCTTCTTTTTTCTTCCTTATTTGTTCTACTAACGAACAGCGAATTTATTGTAATGGCCATATATACAAACGCTGTCACACCTTCACTAATATCGATGCACCAATCAAACTTTAACAGATCATCAGGAGTCACTATTGAGGCGAATATATAAGGATAAAGCTATAGGGACAAATATATAAGGATAAAGCTAACATATAGCAATAGGAACAAATATATAAGGATAAAGCTGACATATTGCAATAGGACAAATATATCAAACATCAAAAGAAGTTCTATTAATTATACTTATTGAGGCGAATATATAAAGATAAAACTGACATATAGGGACAATAAATAAAATATCAAAAGAAGTTCTACGCATTAATTATGCCAATGAGAATAATGTTTACGTATGAAATGTGAAGTAACATGCAAATGGGCATGTTGAACTTCTCGCTTATTGTTGTGGATATAATTATAAATAACATTGGGGTATTTCACGCACAAAATGCGTCGTCATAGTAATTTATTATAAAATTGTTGCGTCGATACTAGTAATTTATTAGTGATATAAGTTGTTAATACCGATTTTTTTCTAGAATCTTGTAGCAAACAATTAATGTAGTGTAGTTAAAATTTAAATTTTTTAATTAATTAGCCATTTAAAGATATTACATTAATGAGAATTTTTTCTTCTTTCATTTTTATATAGGTTCTAGCTATAAAAAAAAAAAAAAAAAAAAAAAAAAAAAAAAAAAAAAAAAAAAAAGGAATTTGTTTTGTAAATTCACATTAAATAAAAAAAAAAAAAAATAATAAACAAAATTAATATTTACATAAAA